ACGCAGATAGCTGTTGCACCCTTAGAAAACTATCTATTTATCATATATGGAATATGTCTTAGGCCACAACGTTCATTATCGTCAGAAGCAAACACCACTGCAGAGCGGGTAACACGCTTACTTGACTTGTATATAAATATATACATTCACTACGGAATGGATGCACACTGATCCAATAGGCTTCCCGACGTCAGCAAAACCCGTGTGGGTGAAAGGGTTCACAAACAGATGACTGCCTGTCAAGCCGATGTCAGCCAAGCTATGATAGTGAAGAGGGACGACAGTGTTTGGCGATAACTTGATGCAGAACTTTTTCTGGCTTATTTGCCTTCTTTCAGCCATGTATAACCCTAGCCACTAGCTGGGCCAGCTGAGGAAGGAAGGCTCGTGGAAAAATCAAGTTTTACTCGTGAATGTTCAAGCAGGCAACATTGGTCTGTCGTCAGACTACATAAAGAGTGGGGCTGGGATTATCGCGCTAGAGAGTTTGGGACAGACGTTACATCGAACAAGGGTTGGGGTGGGCGGTGTTAGGGTGACGCGAATACTGCTGCAATAGGTAATGCAAGTGAGAGGCAGTGTAGACGTTTGACTTGTGGGCCACGTATCGGCCGGATGCAGAAGCAGTGCAGTTCTAAATGGCCGAGCATGGATAGACATTTGTTTTTTCATGCTGGGCTCAAGTTAGTGGACCATGCGCGCAAACGTGCCTAATGCAAATTAAGATCCACGTGATTGTTAATGTTATAGCTGCCAGTGTGTCAAATTTCGAGAAAGTTTCGTGCCTGTTTTTTGTTAGCTCTGGCAACCACTTCAGTATCGCCCAAATTGAAGCGGGGTCACAATCAATAGCGTGCGCAAGCACGAGCGACAATAGTTCACGTCTTCGGATGGCCAGTTTATGATCCTTTATTGCAACGAAGGTATCATCTTCAGTAGAGTACCTAACTGATTAAATGTGACGGTTGAAATTGGAAGGGATGGTTCGGCGTTTGTTTATTTAATTCACTGAATTGACCAGAGGCTCAAAATTCTGTTTACTAGAAAAGCGGACAGCAGACAGCTGACATCGAACTATCTGAATAATGCTTCTTTTCAAGAGATAAGTTGCTGTAGAAAGATTTTTAATTGACGTTTGTCATATTAGTCTGTGAGTCATGTTGCAGACACTCATTTTTCTCCGCAATCAGTTGACGTGTTTGATTGATTCTAAAACCATGATCCAAACTTTGAGAGACACAACTTGAGCTACTTTTGCGTAACAGGGGGTTTCTTGTAAAAATTCTTACTTTTCATCAGATATGCACTCCATTGCATGTAGCCTAGCCATATTTTTGGGCCAAGGGTTTGAAACACGGAGTCTTGTAGTTACCGTAAAACTAGTCCGGCAGGTTGCTCCACTATCGGTGAAACCATGGTGGTGCCCTTCGCTTGCTGGTAATATTTATTATCAAATTGACGATAATTTTTAAGGAAGTGCCCGAGTCTTCCTAAAACGTGCTACGTACATTTTGGCCGCTGCTATGCTTAACTCATCTGCTGGGTTAACAAATGGTGTTTTCCAATCTCAGTGCTGATCAGAATATAATTCGGCAACAGTGCTAACCCTTCCCAACACTGCTGCAGAATTTGCCAACGCTACAATTGCTACTGTTTTGCTTCTCATGACAAATACTTCAGCGATCCATTTCTTTTGGCCCTTTCTTTCTAAGGTTGACTAACGCTAGCGCCAACCCACGGTATCTTTGTTAGGGAATTAAGGTTCTTCTGAAGGAATGCGGCGAGGTCGGTATATTTAAATAAGCGACATTTTGCGTCGTACGGTTGATGGCCAAATATTTCGCAGATGATACATTTCTCTGCGGACACACTTTTATTTCGAAAAAAACAAACAACGCTGGAGCTACATAAATCCTGCACTTTTTACTGCTCGATACTACGCATAGTACAGTAGGTGAGTTAGCTCATGAAATCAGATTATTTCTACAAAAAACTCCCTGTTACACGAACGCAGCCTACGCTGCGGCCCCCAAAGTTTTACAGCTACTTATCAAGTAATACTACGTTGTTTAGAAAGATCACGTCTTTTAGAAAAGTGGAAAATTCTGAAAACATGAAAATCAGGCGTTCTAGATAAACTTAAGCGTTAGATGTAGATGAAGCTTGTTCGTGGGAAACTTCGAGTAAATAAAGCAGCACAAGCAGAATTACGTTGAAAAATAATTCCTTTGTGAAATTTTCTGCTATATATGCTGCCATATTACGTGCAATGTTATGTATGGCTGGAACAGTACAGCCCAAAGTTCGAGTATGTATCCCAAGACGGTTTCACGGAAAATGCTAGTTGTTTCTTCCGATTATACATTGCTTGAGTTACATTGGGCTTAGGTAGTCAGATTTTCGCTTGACTGTGCCGATTAGGAGGTCACAGGAGTAAGATATTTTATAAACTCACGTGCGGATATGCCGGTCAGTAAATAATACATTTAAATGAAATTGTCAGGTGCAATCTTAAGATTGCCATTTTTTACACTATGAGAAATTTCCTTCCACCACATTTATTCGTAATTATTTTGGGATTTCGATTAAGCCAAGACTTAGACCGTTCTTGAAATGATAACTATATTCTACATGCTAACCAAAACCTCCAAAATAATATATATCTTTAAAAATATCTTCACAGAAAGCGAGTTTTAACATTTCTCCTTATGCAGATATTTTTGGGGCCATGGTTTTAGAATCATCCTAACATTTCACCTCATTGCCGAAACAAATGAACGTCCACAACAGAAGTTGCAAATGAATGTGCCTAATATTAGTTATAAAGCTTTCTATATAAATTTCTCTCTTGATAAAAAGGGGCTTTTACTAGATATTTCGGCCTTGAGAACCTGCATATTTTAAATTTAAAGAAGACAAAGTCAAAGTCAACATGTGACATTTCGGCCACTTTTTGAGTTTCGTAAAAATTAAGGATATATCTTCTGCTGAAAATGAAAGAACTTGTTTTTATATGTTTACCAGTGCAGTTTTCGGCATATTTGCGTACGTCTAGGCTCGGACCAAAAATAACAAAGGCAGAGCAGAGTGGCAGAATATTAACGATGATTTTGAGAAAACTAATAATCTTCTGGCCGTTCCGCTTCAAGGTTTTCTATTCATTCATTCTGCTCTATGGTAGCAAATTTTAGGACCCCTTTTGCATACGGCTTGACAAAGAAAATTGGCGGCATCTCTTGGGTGTTTGTATATGCGCTTGTTTGCGGTCGTTATTTTAGGTGGAGTTAAACAACTTACGAGTTTATAACTTTATTACTTAATTTTATGGCAAAAACTTCGCAGATTTGTAAAATCGATTTTTTTAAAAACTAAATGCGCTCACTTTTCCTGACAATCATGTATTACTTGATAAGTGCGCTTACCTTAGTTTCTGAAGCCATATAATTTAAACCTTTTGGTTTTTATGAATGTTGTTTTATAGTGCAACACCCACACACAAGAGGTTTTTTCTGCAGCTTTTAATAGCGTAGGAAATTCCTTGGATATCAACAAACGTTGGATTTGGCCCCATTCCGCCCCTAGTTGTCTCCCCACCCCGGTATACTGAGACGAACAGAATTCTTTTCTAGGAAACGCCGTTTTTGCGCCTAAAGTCAACACAATGCACATAATAAACAACTTCAAATGTGTGTTAAATCCCCACTCAAATTTTGGCCTTCACATTTCATCAGATATACCACCTCTTTCTCTAATACCTTGGTTTTAAAGCGCACTCTCCTCCTCCCCCCATCGCCCACGCACCCCTCAGCGAGCGAACTCACATGATTTTAGAGCAAATAACTTATAGGGACGCTATGGTGTGCAAAATTGACGCCTACACCTCCTTGAATACGAGACGCCTGCCAACCAACAATTGACTGGCTCCAGCTGCGGGGCTACTGTGTATCGCAGTCTCATGTGATATATATAATAAAATCTGCGGTGATACATATAAGGTGCATCTACTTTGCTTGCTACAGCCGACTCCTTTTCGACTGCAGTACAGAAACTATGTCCGAAAGCGAGACTGTTTCGACACTGGAAGATGAGGTCACAGTGCCGAAAAAGAAGAAAAACTGCTTCGTTGAGAACTGGTTTATGATTACTACCATTCTCGGTGTGATTATTGGTTTTGGCGTTGGATTCGGCATACAGAAGGCGGGATTAGACGAAGCGGGGCAAGTATGGCTTGGTAAGTAATCTACCTTATCGACGTCAATTTGAATACGAACAGTCGCTCTATGAATAAGAAATGGATTTCTTTTAAACAACTCACACCGCATTACTGTTTATTAAGATAATGAACATTTTCAGTAGAAGCAACGAGTTTCAGTCATTTATTTATGTTAGGGATTCTAGTCCAGCTAGGAAAATGTGGACGGGCAGCAGAAAAACAAAGATGAATAGTCTGCAATGGGAGTGATTTCGTGATACTCTTTATATGCCTAATAAATACAAACTGCTTATTACAGTTTCACGAGTCTCTGTCACTTAGCAGCTCAAAATTAGATTCATGTATGACCTGCTCAAATAGTGTCATAGAAATCAAATTCTGTTCAAGCGCTTTTTTTAGTTATTCAAATGAGCATTTTGCACAAGAAAGCTGTCAACAAAACCGGATATGTTCTTACAGTCCGAAAATTTCTAAGGCAGATTTTATATTCAGCTCTTTTACCTAGAATAATTTTCGTTACAAGCACACTGTGATTATTATATGACTTTTAAGAATCTTGTTTTTACATTTCCAACGTCACTTTTTACGGCAATGTTTCTTTCGGGATTCAATACTCACTTCCAGTCGCGAGTTTGTGATACACCCAGCTGTTGACGGGCAATAAACCAGATGTGCTCAATGAATAGATTAACCACACTTAATTTTCATTTCATAAATAAGTGGAGGACTCAGTATATCATCGGTTACGGCCAATAAGTAAATGATAAGTGGCCGCACACTTCTCCCTTGTTTTTCGGTCGCATTTAACCATTCAGAAAATTTTTTGCGTTACAAAATATGTTTTTGCCTTTGATATAAATAATGTCCTACTGGGCATATCCAACAGAAATCAGAATGTATCTTTTTTATCAAGAGGTCCATAATTCAAATAATTGGGATTATTCCCGACTAAAAAACGAATCAATAGGTATATACACAGACGAAGTCAGCGGCACGTTTGAATCTGACTAGCCTTTTGAATGAATTTAAATGATATAACTTAATATTCGATAATAAGAAACAACGGAACTGAAGAGTAGGCTATGCATTGGCTACTGCCGAAATTCATTTCGCGAAAATAACTGGAGTAACTTATTGTAAAAATAAGACATATGTTCTCTAAAGTTTTCAATAAGAAGCTGACGCTGAAACCAAACGGTAAAATTGGATCTTTGACTTATTACAGCTATGCCTGGAAAGCTTTACATTCGTGTGTTGCAACTCACCATTCTGCCAATGATCTCGGCCAACGTCATTAACGGTGAGTATTGTGCATTTCTTAATGCAATACTCGGAGCTACACCTATACACTGAACTGTTCTATTTCGAATTAAAACACCGTACCGCCTTTCGTAACCGCAGCTTTTCTACTAGTCGATTGTATTACAGATATATTGATGCAATTTTCTAGTCCTGGCCGATCTGAACCCGAAGGAAAACGGAAAAGTTAGTGTGGCCGCCCTGTGCTACATACTTGGATGCAATCTCATTTCCTCACTTATTGGCCTTATGTATGGCTACATCATTCAGCCCGGTAAGTCTGCCTGTATTACATACGGCTTAATTTCATAAAAAAAATAATCGAGTCGAACATCTTCCTTCAAATTCTATCAAAATGTACCCAACTCTTCCCTGAAGAAAATTAAAACTTGATTAGGTGTTATTCTTTTAGGACAGACAGTAAAAGTGACTATTTATAGCACAGTCTGTTAACCTTATTTGAAACATGCAAAAGAACTAGAGATGTTTCTCAGTCCGAGCTTACAAGACGGGCTAAGAATAAACAAAAGCCTAAACAAAAGCGCTTTTGAGATTTAAAAGCTATACTTGTGATTACTGAGGAAGAGTACGTTTAACAATTAGCGCATCTTTATATTTAAACTATTGCAGTTTATCACCTTATGCCATATTTTGTCTGTTTTTCCTATTCTGTTCTAGGGAATTTTCTTGTTCGAAGAATAGTTTAACAAAACAATTTAATAGTTTTCTAATGCATTGTATTTTTAATAGGCCGTGGAACGAACGTTGGTGGTGGAAATGACCCCCCAAATTATTCAACTGGACAGGAAAGCAGTCAAATCTCTTATATTTTTAGAGACTTATTCTTGTACGTGCCTCGCCTTCTAAGACGTTGTGTAAAATATGTAATTAAATTGTCCGAAAGTTAAAGACGTTAGCAATATGACCGCACTTATCCTCCTGCCAGATATATGGCCAGTTAAACTTCCTACCAACAATGACATAACAGTGTAAAATATACGATATAATTCATTACATTTTCAACAGAAGGGGTCAAAATTAAAATACGCTCATTATAGTTTTTATAGAAACGTACACTTTCTATAATTCCACAAACTTTGGAAAACGTATGCCTGTTTATAATATTTGTACATCTAGAAACACTGGACAAATAAATTTGAAATAGTCTTAATTTATTTAAATCCGTAGTATCGTTAGGTTCAAAAAAGTCCGACACTGATGTTTGACCAACCTAAAACACTGACGTTAATAATAAAAAGTGTGAGACGCTCTAACCTAATGGGAATACCGCATGCCGAGTCAAATGACGCGAAGTGCACTAGTCAATAAAGTCGTTTAATGGTTCCATGCCCTCTGTCAGAACGACAATAATTACAAAACGTAACAAGAATTTCGTATTAAATCAGGTTTTTTTCTAACATGGCATGCAAAATGCTTGTCCGACGAGGTTAACCTTTTCCTGCATTTTCATCTGACCACTTTAGGAACATCTTCCCTGACAATATCGTTGGTGTTGCTCTCTTCCAGGTAGGCGTTTTGCCTCTTGTTATCAACGCGGACACTTATAATGAAAAGCCTCATGCTTAATTCAGTTTTTCGTTAATATCGCGTTGATTTTTCCAGGCGAACATAAGTAATAAATGATTCGAGTCTACCCAAATTTCTGAATATAAGGGTCAGTTCGTTAACTTTTACAACTGCATAACTGGTAATCGACAACTTCTCTTGGAGAGGGGGGGGCACGGATAATATCATGAATGCATACTCGCCACCAAAAGTATTCTAAGCGATGTAATCTAGTGTAAGTTCTGTTGACCATCGCCTACCACCCTTACGCACGTTCTTAAAGACTGTCATATTTGCAAAGTTGGATAATCAACTGAGAGGTAGAACAATCGTTCCCGAAGCCAATCAAATCCATTTGTTCTCACTTATGCTGTAGTCAACAATGCCTTTATATGGAAGATCAAGAACCCCCGGAAAGTGCCAATCTTGTTCTCCAAGTGGGCTATTTCAGCGAGAAGAGAAAAAGCAGATGCATGTGCCCTGTCTGAACATGGAGTATGACTGTCTTCTGGTAGCAAACGGGCCAGAAACTGAGCTTCCCAATCTCTCTTCACCTCCTAGTCAAAAGTTTGCAATAAGTTAAACAACTTACGAGTCATAGACTAGCTGTAACATCCACGAAGCCCTAAATCTTTTCTCTGATATGTAATAGCATTCTTAGTTCTGGCTTTTGCGAGGAATTCATAGAATGCTTAGATGAAACTCATAGCGGTATATGAAGTTCTAACTCGGGCCACTTGCGTCCTGAACGTTTAGGTTGAAAATATTAAATTACCGAGGAAGTGTATAGTTTCAACTGCTGCCACTACGTTAGACCGAAATTTGCTGTGTTTAGTTTAATTGCCGTCTTATTTGTTTGTGGATATGGTAGCCGCCTTATTGTTCAGCCGGCCTGGTTATTCCAGTTTTTCTAAACCGCGATTCAAATGTCATCTTCCATTATCCAGACTTAATGCATAGCTGACAGCTTGGTGAAAACTCTACTAAGGGCCTCCGTAAATGATGTCGTAGAGAACAAGACCGCTGCCTATGTGCCGAGCTGCATAAGTTAGATGTACTGCGTAGAGGCGCCACACTTTTCAACGTAAGCCAACATTATGTGGTTTTGTATTATGCAAATAAAAACGACTTATTTCTTTCCTTTACAGTCCGGCACAGACTTTGATGCGGGCAAGCCTAATGACAAAGGCGAAATAGTCTACCCACAGGTTACCTTAGACGGAACAAACATGATCGGTAAGCCATACCGCAGAGAATCCCGGCTGCTGTTTCGGAAGGTGTCAAGACTGATGGAAACCACTTAATGTTTTTAGGTGTGCTCTTCGTCTCCTTCGTTTTTGGCCTCGCCACAAACCACGCAAAGGAAAAGGGTATTCCATTCAAGAAGTTCTTCAATTCCCTCGGTGATGTCGTTATGCTACTCATGCAGAAGTTTTTGCTGTAAGTCAACGCTCTTCAGAACGACCATATTTTTGCCCGCAACTCGGCGCATTTTCTGTTATTATAGAAAGTGAGTTCTAAGTTGAGCTTGTCAAAACGTTGATTGCCAATAAAATTTGTTGGCTCCAAGGTCAGAATCCATTGACAAATAAACCATACATAGACAAGTACATGTGCGATCTGCAATCTAAGTTACTGGTATCTAACAGCCAGCTATTATATGGTTATACTTTTTCGGTCTTTCGGACAATATGATGCTAAGTTATGGAGAACAGAGGTGTAGGAAGGGATGGCGAGGAACAAGTATGTTCCCAATAAGCAACCTACGGCAGTGTACTTTTGAGGCATGTTCTGTAAAATAATGTTGATGTTTTGATTCCGGAAAAGAGCCTTCGGGAAATAGTGGGTGGATACCTAGCTTAAGATGTACTTCTCTGAAAAGTTTAAAAACATGCTGGACTAAAAAGAGGGCTCTTTCCATGATCGGTCTGCTC